AGTTTTGGAAGCCTACAAAAGCAATCACATCTCAACAAACATCATCTACCCCTCACAACAGTTAAGGAAAGTGAGTTCTATAGACCCATACGGAGGCTTTTCTGTAACACTTTCAATTACATAACCAAGAAAGTAGAGGAAGAAAGCCTGTAAAAAAATCCTGCTGAGATCAGCAAGGTCAGAGCTAGCATGTTTCTGAACTTTGTGAAGAAGATTATTCAGTTCCAGTTTGCCTATCAAAATTTCACTGATCTGTAATATTTTCTCTTTAAACATTTGCCCTTTTGCTAAGTTTGTGAGCAAAATCATTTCTTCTCCGTGCCTTCTCCCCCCTCACTGCAAGAATGACATTGAGGCCCTGGAACGTGTTCAAAGGAGGGCAACAAAGCTGGTGAGGGGTCTGGAACACAGGCCGTATGAGGAGAGGCTGAAGGAGCTGGGAATGTTCAGCCTGGAGAAGAGGAGGCTCAGGGGAGACCTTATTGCTCTCTATAACTTCCTGAAGGGAGGTTGTAGTGAGCTGGGGGTCGGCCTCTTCTCTCGTGTCATTAGTGATAGGACCAGGGGGAATGGTTTCAAGCTACGGCAGGGGAGATTCAGGCTGGACATGAGGAAGTATTACTTTTCAGAAAGGGTGGTCAGGCACTGGAATGGATGCCCAGGGAGGTGGTGGAGTCACCGAGCCTGGGGGTGTTCAAGGAAAGGCTGGATGTTGTGTTGAGGGACATGGTTTAGTGGGAGCTATTGGGAACAGGTGAATGGTTGGACTGGATGAGCTTTTAGGTCTTTTCCAACCTTAGTGATTCTATGATTCTATGATTATTATAAATAATATATTTAACATCTTGATTTGTCATTAAGAATAATTAAACTTCATTTACAAATGAGTTAAAATATGGAAGTGTAATACTTGTACTTAATTTTTGTGGCATTTCATTAAAAGGATTATTAAATATTTAACAATATGTTTTAAGTATTCTTCCCTCTTTTCAATGAAATACAAGTGAAGATTACATAAAGCGTAAAGAGAAGCAATTTTTGAAGTAAAACATTGGCACTTGATTTAAAAATAGCTTCCCCAAAACTCAGTGGGTGATGAAACACTCATCACAGCAAGAACTATACAGCAAGAACATTTTCTTTTATAATAATCAAATAACAAGGAATCTAAAAGAACTCTTCAGCAGAAAAAGAGTAAGCCTTATTTGTCTGGCACAAGGTTCTCAGTGTTTTCCTGACTGCCTCATTCCCTCAGAGGTATTGTAGCAATAAAAGCACTGTCATGTCAAGCAGGTAATGTTCAACCTTCTCTACCAGACAAAAGCCTTTCAACACCCCATATATATCACTCCTAAAATTTCTCAGGCAGTTTAAACAGGATCAGCACACAAGTTGAATACTCTGGCACTGCAGAAAGAAAACTATCTCGCCTTAGGCATCTTCAAGAAACAAACTTCTTTTTTAAAACACCTTGTGGAAATCAGTGCTGTACACATCCTTATTAATTTAGTAAATCTGATAAAAACGTTGAAAAAAATGTACCAACAGCTGAAATGGACAAACTTTGCAGCACAACAATGTAATTCAGAATGCCATGGTAATCTCCGGATCTTACCAAAGCTTGTGAATTCAAAAGACACTTTTTGAAGAGGTTCTGGACTAACACCACTAACTCAGCCATAGCAGATATTCACTGAAAAAATCACGTAGCACCAACTAAGAGAGTGGGGAGGAAACACTAAGTTTCGGCACGTCCTAAAAGATGGTTTGGATGAAGAGCAGAAGCAAGGACAGGTAGCCTGGGGGGAAATACAGAGAAATTGTCCAAGCAGCCAGAAAAGTGAAAGCTCTGTAGAAATAAATCTGGACAGGGATGTGGAAGGCGACACGAAATGCTTATCAGTAAATGTCAGTGCGATGAACGGAAGAGCAGGGAGAAGGTGAGCCCTCTTCAGAAGGGAGATCTGACTGGTCAGGACATGGAGAAGACTGAGGAACTCAGCAAATCTTCTTGCCTTGGTTTTCACTAGCAAATGCTCTAGCCACACTGTAGTATGCTAAAGCAGGGACTGGGGAAAAAAATGACAAACTATCCACTGTAGAAGATCAGGTTTAAGACCACCTAAGGAACTGGAAAATGCACAAGTCCATGGAATCTGATGAGACGAATTCACGGATCCCAAGGGTACAGCAGATGTCTTTGCCTATGTTATTACCTCAAAGAGTGACAAAACTTTAATACATGAAGTTAACAAGGTAATATTGCTGCTTGGAAGCAGTGCTTCTAATAATAGGAAAGTCGGAGAGTTTCAACTAGATAACTTTCCACAGTAATCTATTCTGCTATACCAGCACATCTCAGGCCCAAAGGTGCTTATAAATCTTTCATTTGTCTTGGAGGTATGCAGTCTCCTCTTTACTGACTGTCTCTTGAACATAACCTTTGCCACTCCATTAGCTCGCATCTTTAAAACTAATTTTCACGTGCAGATGTCTTGAGAATAATCTCTGGAGTATCTACAATCTACACAACAAATATAGCTAAGTACATCCAACCGGCAAATTTTTTTTTTTAAAGAGTTCTCTACAATCCATACAAAATATTTCAGTTATTTTCTAGAAGATGTCTCCAGCTGCCTTTTTTTTTTCTTTTTAATTAAAAAGTGAAAGAGGCAAATTATTGAGATGAAGTTCGGTCAATGTTTAACCACATAACAACAACCGCAAACAGCTGATATATCAGAAATTAATACAAGTAGATAATGCAAACTGATAGCTTTGGTGATACATTGTTTTCACATTTAATATTTTACCAAGGCACATAGCTGTGTAGACCAGTTCTTTAGGAAAACTTGGAAAAACAGACAATGAAAATCAATATGCAAGTTACAGGCTTTAGTGAAGGATTATCACCTTGGGCTAAAGAAGTTAACAGACTAAGAGACCAGCAGACAAGACTGCCTGTGAATACGCTGCTCATACACTTGTATTACTACACCACATAAAGGTCAAAGACTGCAGGAAGAAAACCTCATTAGAAAGAAAGCACAAAGCAACTGATTTCTCCTTGAGCTTAATAATCTGTGGGGACAGATATCTATGCCTGTAGATCTGTGTCCTGGCTCAGGACAAGTAGGTGGTGAATTGCTTCATCTAGCTTACAAGACTACATCTGCAGAGCCTATGTTTCCTGTTACGGCTCTGTATAATCAATGAATATTAAGATGTTATAATTACAAAATGAAGTAGAGAGTTGGACGAAGCAGATTATGATAACAAAAAGAGAACAGATAGGAAGCTTACCCATATCCTGGGCTCACTTACAAAACACCAGCAGAGCAGATCTCCAGAAGAGAACCTTCCCCCCTGGTAGCCAGCTCTCAAATAGGTCTAGGAGGCAGCACAGCTGAATTGCCTTCACCTGTGCTCCTCTGGCTGACTCACAGCTCGCCTCAGATGATCAATCAGAGGTTCAGGCCGTGACTCAGCAGTTCCCATACACAACCAGTACTATATTCAGAGAGGCTTTGCCCGTTAAGATATTAAGATACCTTTCAAAATGAATGCTGGGAACCGTGGGAGGAATAATCTGGGTATGAAGGCAGATACCAATACATTTACTAATTCAACCATCATATCCAGTTTCATCTAATCTGAAGGGTAGATACATCTATTTTTCATGTAATATTCATCTAATATTTAATCTAAAACAAAGGCCCATCTTCAAGTATTCATAAAATTAAGATATCATTTTTTCCACTGCTTTCAACAGCGTGTGTAAAGCCCCAGAAATGCTGAACTATCAATGCTGACATACTCCCAAATGTTCACATGCAGTTGAAATTAACGTACCTGCCTTTGTCTGAAAATATTTCTTTCAACTTCTTATATGTAACATTTTATTAAACCAAAATGATTAGCTGTAGTCTGAGATTATTTGATATGAACAGCAAACCTCTACAAATAAGGTTTTGATAATTAACTGCAGCTGCAGATCTAGATAGTTTAAACTTTTCCTTTCACTGTGTACTACTCTGCTTGTTTAAAAAGACACAGATGGATGTATTTAAATGTAACTAGATGCTATGGAAGAACATTCTCTATATCATTCATGACACAGTACTGGCTTTCTAAAAAGCTTGAAATTATCTTTTTACATTACACAAGACTGTTTTTCCTCACCCTTTTAAACATTTAATGATTAAGAAACTTTAGCAAATCCTGAGCTCAGTCATGTTACTGAAGTTCAGTGGGGCTCTATTCTTTCTACCATGCTAAGCTTCCCACAACGAAGAGCAGCAAACTGACCAACTCCAAGTCAAAAATTCAATCTGACTCCAACTCCTGAGCAGACAATAATCTCACAATTCAACTATGAGTAAGCTTCATGCCCCCTACCTACATATTGTCTTCCCCAAATAAAGCCATAACAGTGCATTAACATTTGGCCACACCGAGACATACATAAATAGAGGACCTGGAATTGTTTGCTACAAAAAATAAAATACAATACAATAAAAGAAATCTGCATTCTGATTCTGAATAACTTTTTCATATGTTTGCTCCTTATATTTAATTAATCCAATGTAGGAAAAAGAACAAAAAAAGAAAATAAAAGGAAAACAAAGAAGCCTAAAAGAAAAAAGTTACACCACATAACGTGCAGCTTTGAAGACCTCTTGTTTCATATAAGCAGTGATGAATGCATAGCAGCAGGACATTATCACAATCATTAGATTGGTTCGGTACTAGTATGGTTGGTATTTGCTTAAATGCAGATGATCATCAGCTTGTGTTTTTTAAATATGTACACCCTTCAGCTTAACGGCCCATTAAAAAAATCAAATATTAAACAGTCTAATCAAATTATGCATGCATAATTACTTCTAAAATCCACTGCTTATATGTTGTTACATAACTAATTATAGCATACTTATGGTTTACAGTCAGTCATGAACACTACTGAAAAAGTCTATAGGATTAACTTTTAAAGTATTTACCTGTGTGTAAGCCTTCGGTGGCTAATGCAAACAGCAGTTTGTTGATCCTGTGCAACACAGACCTTATGACGACTACATTTCATCTTTAAACAGGGGTCTTTAGCCGGATCTAAAGCTAAAAACAATTTTAGAAAATTGTTAACGATTACCTAGAAGCAGGCACTTAAATAAAGAAAAGAAACACACCGCACACAAAACCCTCCAAGTATGGGGGGAGGGTTGGCCAGTTGTTTTTACAGCTCACCGAAATGAAAGGCTCTGATTTCCATCAGCATAAAAGGCAGGATATTCAATAATAAGGTCAAAGAAAGTTAGTTGTATGAAGTTCCTTACCAAGGAAAATGGATCGTCACAAATCACGTGTATTCATGTATATTTTCACATGTTACCACCGTCACTTATTTATAAAAACACTGAGTGCCCCATCCAACTCTCTCCTGGTCAGCATTTGTAACAAAGGCAATTGCAAGTAAAACACTCTTGCATTTATCATCCTCAGTAGCTCCTGATGGTTTATTAATTGCCACACACGTGCACACACATCACTTTCAATGAGCAGACAATAATTCTCATACACCAACCACAGTGCTTATAAAATCCGCAATGTTCCCATTGTACAGATGGGGAATGAGCAGCGAGCCCGAAGCCACACTGGGCATCAGTTAAAAATGGCATTAGAAGGCTGGTTCCCTCTTCCCATTTGTCTCCTTCTACAAAGATTTCTTCATTTTTGATGTTCAGTGTGCTTGATGAAACTCATCTCAAAATGACATTAGTGCCCACTGTTTCAGATAGAGAACAATCACACCAGGACGGACACGAGATCTTAGCCATTTTTCTTGGCCTCCAACCGGCTGTTCCCAGTGAATAATCCTGGTTTCTTAAATTAGTACCTTTCAAACTAGTAACAAAACAGATAAATATCACTGTCAGCAAATGATAATGTCATTGACTGTTATTCAATTGTGACAGGACATGAGCATCCCAGAAATCCAGGCAACAAAAGCAAAAATCATCACCAAAAGCAATTATCAATTATTGCAACATTGCAACCTATTCCAGATGATTCAGAAAACCAGTTTCAAATCCAGATAGTTCATGCATTGATCTTAATTTCATCTTCTAAGTTTCAAGTAAAGAGTTGTAAATCAGCACAGTGAAACTTTAAAATCTAATCTGTATCAAGTAAGCAGCACACCAACTAGAATGTTACACCTGAATTCTATTTTGTGTTTGCAGAACACGATTTTACTACTATCTTTTACAAGATTGCTAACTATGAGAGTAAATCTGATAAATGCATTCTGTGGGCAAATTTGTGTCTTTATATGCGCATAGGCTTGGGCATCTTTGCATTTAATTCTTTTTTCCTGATGGCTAGGAACCTCCATTTTTTGTTGTGCTCCTCTTGGCATACGCATCCACTAACAGCTCACTGTAATTAGAATTTTGTTGATAAATAAAAACATAGGTTTCCAAGTATCTTTCATGCTTTCACACCAGTAACAGTTGCAGGGAAAGGGCTACTTTTTTGTTGGTAAATCAACCAATGTTGTTAAATAAATATAGGAAACAGAAATACATTGTGGCTACTTTTTTGAAAGCACTTCTATTACATGAAGTTGTCTAGATTGTCTGGTAACACACATCCTAAAAACAAATTCATTTCTGGAACACCACCAACAATTGGCAAATTCAAATTAAAGTAGTTCACCCTCAGGTCCTTTGAAACAAGCGCCCTCCTACCATCTATGGAAATACATATGTACGCATACAGATATCAGATTGTATCAGACATATAATCAGAGAATGAATTAATACTTTATTTTGAAGAATACATAAATGAAATGTTTAAATCTTCTTTCCTTAACTTTCTCCTTTTGTATATTTTTATACATCGTTCCATTTTCAACAGAAATATATTTCTGAATACATAGATTGCTCAGAAATTAATGCTGCTCAAAGTAACGTTTGGTCTCTGTAAACTTTTAGCAAATGCCGATGAATGTCAACGTGTTCCTTTTTTTTCCCCATGTGGAAGAATTCGATGACACAGCTTTGCTTTATACACGCTTCCACATCAAACAACATTTTGTCAGACTGCCCCTGTGCTGCCATCCGTCTCACAGCAACAAAATGAACGGAACATTGGTGAGGAGATTCAGCCTCTACGGCCATAACATCGACATCCAGCTCTGGTGTCGTGGGCCAACATAAAATCACAGGCATTGCTTTCAGCCCTCATATTTTTCTAATGTTTCTTCATGACTTTTTACCTTTAGAATTCCATCACACACCTCAACTAGACGTATCAATAATACAGTGAAAGCCTTTCACTCCCTCCCTCTTCTTCCCTCCTCCCCCCCCCCATTCCAGTTTAAAGCTTTTCATGCTCCGGAGGAACTAGACTCTCCTTACACCTTAGAGAGATATCTGACTGACTCCTGTTTCCATGCAAAGTATTATTGATACCATGTAAGTCTATAACTCAAACAAGCTAATTCAAGAAAGATACAGAATAGAGTCTAATTCTTCACTGTATCTTCTGGTAAACATTGATCAAAAATGCTGGCATTACTCCCACTTTGAGCGTGCAGTCTTTCATTGGCAACAAATCACACTGCTATCATTTTCTGCTAAAACAGACACCTACAACACAGTACTACGTTCATACTGGAAACCGGCCCACAAGACATCATTTATGCCTATAATATACCAGCTGACTTCCAAGGAAGTCAGATTCAACCAATTTCTAAAGACACAGGTCTGACTGACCTTAGCTTTGTTGATTTGATAATACCCAACTCCATTTAGCTCCTAATAAACAGAAAAAAAGAAAAAGTGCTTGCCATGTGTTATTTAGGCCAGGCTGATGGGGCTGTGAGCACCCTGGTCCCTGTCTATAGCAGGAGGGTTGGAATTAGATGATCTTAAAGCGCCCTTCCAACCCAAACCATTCTGTGATGTTACACACATATTTAATACGCATTTCCCTAACGTAACACTGAATGTAGCCTTACTTAAATTTCAGTAAGTAGAAAAATTAAAATAGGGGTTACAAAAAGAATTATTAAATAAAAAAAATGATTTGTATCATCTAATCTTTCTCTAAGAACTCGCATTATTAATTAAAAATAATTTGCACATTTGGAATGGAATTAGGCTCGCTTGGTGACTTTTTACAGACGGATATGGATTTGTTATCCTCACATCCTGAGGAAGCAATTAATACTCATAAAAATTGATTCAATTATTACTAATGGATCTATTTATTTTTCAGATTTGGAACAGCAATGCAGGAAAGCTCATAATCTCTTCTTTAAGTCAATTTACAGCTAGCACTGCCAGAAACTGACATTAGCCAGATCATTTTTACTGGGAATACAAAAGAAAATTGAGTGAAAGCAAGACAACACAGTAATCCTCTTGACAGAAGCTCTGTGGTAGAAATCACAGTAAAGGACCATTATTTTGCAATCAGACAGATGGAGCTTTCATACCCAACAAAAACAAATAGGGAAGAAAGGTTAAATGGCAGAGTTTTCACATTTGAATTCTACTTTCGCCCTCTAAAGTTCTAGATTCATTTCTGATGGGTAGGAAAAAAAACCTGCACTTTTTGATCAACTACATCTGCCAAAACCTAAGACACATTTTGAGCATCCACTGATTGGTTTAATTCCTCCATTTTAAGAGGTAGGGGAGAAAACTGTAAATCAACTAGAATACCAATAATTAGTCACATGTCTAAGCTACAACCCTACGCAAAAAAACAACTGAGCTATTCATATTACTTACGAACACCTGAACTTATGTTCATATTACTTGCTTTGATAAACTACCTAATTCTTGAAGAAACCTAATCAGTGCTTTTACTTCTGGTAAAAGAGGTGGTCTGTGGGGGCAGGACAAGGTGAAACAGACATAAATCAGAGCATAGGAAGATCTGCACCAATACATGAAATAACTTCTTCGTGGTGAGGGTGATGGAGCACTGGAACAGGCTGCCCAGAGAGGTTGTGGATTCTCCTTCTCTGCAGATGTGTTCAAGACCCATCTGGACGCCCACCTGTGCAGCCACTCTCCAAGAGAGATCCCAGTCTTGATATGCAATATACCTGAGAGTAATCATGTTTCCATATGAAGAGGAACCACTGGACATAAACAGTCTCAGATTCATAAATAAACTTAAGAAAATAATAAGAAACAGTCTTCCTCAGTAACTTGATAGGAATGGTCTGAAAAGAAGAACCTAGAATTTTTGTTTCCTCTTCCTGGGATTGCACTTCGCATCATACACTAGGTAACATGAAAAGCAGCATGGGCAGCTATAGCTGAACCTTCAATGCAAAGAATCTTCCTGTGTATTTTTTTCATCTGATCCAATGAATGTGCAACCTCAGTAAGAAGCATAGAGAGAAGGTGTTTCTGTTGGTGGTTAAGTAATTAAGAGCTTGGATTAGACCCTCTGGAGGTTACAAATACTTTACAAGTTTCAGCTCATGAACAAATGATTCAATAAGTAGGTGTCTGCATGTATGAAGGTTGCATCCACTCAAGAAGCATCTTCTCATAAGAGTGCTCAGGAAAAGTCCAGCCTGATTAAGCAGGCTCAACTGTGTAAAACCTTTCATCAGGAATATGCTCAGGTGCACTACTGTTTCTGGCATTCTACACCACTAAGCTCAGTTTAGCATTGAGAACTGGGACGCTCTGAAGCATCTCTTTCTGAAGAAAGGCTTTAAAGACCAATCTTCCTCAGAAGAGCCATACCGGACTAGAAGTTATGCAGGTTTGCCAAATAAAATGATCCAGTTCCATATATCCTTTTCTCCATATACTGCCAGTTCAAAAGTTCTGCTCTCTCCCTCTAGCAAGTCACTGCAGCCTTCTATCACATTTTCACTTCCATATAAGCATTTTGGGGGTCTGAATGGTTACCTGAATGCCTGATCTAGCTGTGCTAAAAAGAAATTTAAATAACATACTTTTAAAATTTGTTTTATGATTATTCAGTATTTGGTGGCACTATGGACTCTGCATCAGGACATAAAGCAGGTCGGCAGGAAAACAGGACTAAGTTGGCACTGCTATCGAAGGCAAGATCTCGTCACA